ACTATCTATGAAGATTTTGTTGTTGTGAGATACCACAAGCCTACGCTAATATTTTCCAATCAACTTTTAAAGAAGTATAAATGCGCAATAGATTGGGATACTAATGAGCTGAAGATTCCCCTTAATGGAAAAGATTATATCTTCCCAGTCACTATGCATAAGGTCAAGAATAAGCTTGAGGTGAATTGCGTGAACATTACTCCTGAATGCGATGCTTCCTCAACTCCAGATAGAATTTCACAAGACTTGCAGGACTTAAGTGAAGACGATAATGTATTAAAAAAAAAGTGAGTTATGAAAGTATGGCAATTCGTATGAAAGAGCTTGAGAAGGCATTATTTACTAGTGTTCAATCAAATTTGGAAATCATGGGATACTATAATAATCTTTGTGAGTGGTATGAACGATACTAAGGTCAAGTTTTTAATTTTTGTTCAAGTGCACGACCTTTTGCCACAGCCTTTTCCATTCCACTTTGTGACTTCTTAAACACTTCTAGAGCATCTTCAGAATCTTGCAGAATAATAGGTAATAGACTGGAGGATAACGGTATCTTTGACACATGTTCTTTTTTTGTCTCTAATACCCCACCTACCTTTTGCGATAAATCTTTATTATCAGAAATACGAACAGACTTGGACTTGGATTTCTTTTTGTCTGTCTGCGTTTGTATGGAACTACCAAAGGTGGAAGTACCATCATGTGAAGATTTCTCATTATCTGAATTCTGGCTAGAAGGCACTTCACGTAAATGAAGAAGAGGATTTTTATTGTCAGAGATGCTAACGGATTCTACAATACTACGCCATTCCTCTGTTGGTATAGAAGGCCTTTGATTATTAATGATTTTTTTATATGTCTCTGCTCCTATACGATGTCTTTTACACATAATACTTTGAGCATTTGGAATATTTTTAGGAGCATTTCTGATTTCTTCTATCGCTTCAGATGATAAGAGTCTGGCATCCGATCTGAGAAATTTACGGGCACAAGCTGTTTGTTTTTTACTCATATCGAATCTATATATTTCTAATATATTACCAATAGAAAACCAATAAAAACTGATAAAAAATTAATAAAAAACTTATTCACCATCTATTTGACATTGATTTTATACTAATATAAATATTACGCAAGTCTGCAGTAACTATGATCCAAATAGAAATAGGAATAAAACGCATACAATTTAGGTACTTTATCGATTTTATATTAGTGAAATACTGGTTAAATATTGGTACAATAATGATTCAAAAAAAATATACAGTTCTTAGTAAATAACAACAATGAGACATCTATCTAAAAAATTATATGACTGAAATTTCTAAGATAATGTCTGAAAATATTTTTTTTTCTACTATCAAAGTGTATACGAAAGTAGGTCATGACTAATGTGCATACTATGAAAGACTTTAACTCAGGTCATCGTCTTGGTAGTGCCCGTGAAATGGAGCTTGAGGAGGCATTGCGCATTAGTAGCAAATCTGTTACTGACCTTGTTAATGAATACAGAAACCTGCAAGACGTATGTTTAGGACGAGAAAAGGAGTTCCAGCGATTACATGCTGATATTGGAAATAAGGTTAGCTAGCTAAACAATGCAAATACTAAACTTACATCCCAAATTACTTATGAACAGATGTCCCGTACTGAGCTTGAAGCCAAATATTCTGCTGAAATCAAATCGCTCAAATCTAATATTAAAACACTAAAGAGAGAAGCAACTTTAGCGTAGAAAGCTTCGTTCGCTGACAAGGTCAAGATCCTTTCTCTTGAAGCTAAGGTAGTTGAATTGGAAAGTAAGTTGCTAGATCTGGAACTAGAACCTGATTCGTATATATTGGGAGGACTACTAGAGAAATCAGCCCAAATTAACTCATCTGATACTAAAGAGATCGATTCTCTCAGTCTTAAATTGGAACGAGTAAAAGAGAACCTTAATCCGAAAGAATATACAATAGAATATATGGAAAGGAGAAAGAGTTATCAGATAGCATATACAAACAGGAAATAGATGCTTTAAAAAAGACACGATTAAATTCAATGGAGGAAAATTCCCATCTTCGAAAGATAATCTCAAAAAAAGATAATGAAATAGCAGAGCTTTCTACCCCTCACCTCCGCTTATAAATGATTCATCGCAAAAGCTACCAGGTTGGGTCAGTGACAATTTAAAACCTCTCATCTATGAGCTCAGTCTTGAAGATAAAGTTATGGAATTCGATAAAAGTTTTGCTAGAGAAAATGTATTAGAGGCTTTGCAAGAGCTATTACCCCAGAATGAGATGGTTTCGAGAAGCCAGACAGATACTCTACCCAATCAATCTGTTCATAATCGACCAGCACATTCTGAAAAGTATATTTCGAGTAAAGGGGTTGCAGAGCAATTAGGTGATGCAGAAACAGTATCTTTACCAGCAACTACTCCTATTATTGCGAGCTCCTTAATGTCGCTAATGTTAATATATATTATACTCGCCTTACTAATTCTTGCCATTATATGGCTCGTGGTTGGAAAAAAAATATGGAATTCGTGGAAAAAAAGTAATACCAAGTATTCTCCTAACTGGAACTATTTTTTATCATTTCCGGACATTTCTGAGGCTGGGCTATACAATCGAAAGCCAGAAGTTTAGAGTGATCATCCTAGGCTGGAAGTTCGAAGATAGGAATTGAAGTTAGCTGGGTATTATTGCATGAGAAAAAATATGTAAATAATATTATGTGAAGTGTCTTATGACTAAGTACTTAGCTGAAATTGCCACACCTCTCTAAGAGTACTCGGAAAGATTATTGTAAAGTTTTTATATATTTTTTAAGCTGTCTTACAGCCTCATCCTGAGAGTATTTGTCGATCTTCTTTTCTCTCACATCTGGATCCTTGATCTGCATTATTTTATGTGATGGATGTGGTTGATAGCTATCGTTCTCATTGATAAAGCGTGCGCACATTGCAACTGTAGTGCCTAAATAATAATTGATATC